CAAAAATATTATTTTCAAGTCATTTCAATAATAATCAGATGATATTGCAGCATTCTCTATGGAATTGTAGGCAATTTATTAAAATGAATTATAAATCGTTAAAATGGTGACAATGACGTCATTATGACGTCACATTTGGTTTCCACGGGTCAAGACTGAGTGTGGTGGTTCGTTTTACGTGGGCGACCATTGTGTAAAAAATTTCATGCTCAYAGACGTATTGGTTCCGAAGATATTGAGAGGGGCCGAATGAGCCTTCCTCAGTCACAGATTGAAAAAAAGCCCAGTCTGAATAGGGTTAAAAGTGCATTTACGTACTGAGAAATAACTGGTATAGCTTATACAAAAATTACATATTAAAATAAATATTGAGTATTAATATAATATAATTTCAAAATATTTTTTAATAAAAAATGTTGCCTTCAATTCGAACCTGATTTCGCTCTTTGACTTATTAACAGACTACATATGGAACCAATATGGAACTAATGTTGTTGTTAAAAACTTCACGTATAAAATCACACATGTACCAACAATTCGCCTGTATCACCCCTCCCTTGCTACTCTTTATCATCCGCACTACACTCAGCACGATGGACACTATACACAGGCAGCCTAGCCTGGTACACAAGCTGGAAACTATAAGCATCCCACAATATTTCGTATTTATTGTTTCTTTGTACTTTGCTCGCACTACCCACAAGCAGTCAAAGTTTGTATGCAATGATTCTTTCGTCTCGAGACCATAATACTTCATATCAAACAATTGCYTCGGAGAAAAATTCATTCGTCTGCCAAACTTTTGCTGACCATAAATGGTAATCTTACCTTATAAGGAAGTACGTTTGAAAGGATTTTTTTCAAGATTTTTTCAGTACCTTTTAGTGCTTTAAAATGACTAGAACTTACAGAATTTGCAGAAAAATTGCTTTACAACATGTCGGCCATTATAATTTTGTCCTAGTCCCCTCCCATCCTTGAAAATAAGGAATCCCTCAAAAAACACAGGTAGCCCGCRCGAATAATAGAATGTTTAGAATGTTTAATGAGATGTAATTATGACATACGGAAATTGTATGGAAAATATTTTAGAAAGTTCTACCTGCTTACTAGCGAAATGTTTAGGTTGTCTATTTACACAACTGTTTCTTCAGAAACACCGACGCAGTTCACACCAGTCTACCGATAGTTTTCACCATAAGTACATCTGGTATGACTTGAAAAGTCGATTRGATGCACATTTTAGGACGTGATTTCAACCCGAATTGTAAAAAGTGTCAGCTTCTAGCAGGTGGTGTGTCATTGTCGTAGCCGGAAAGTTGAAACATAAGGCACTGCACAGCAACGGGCTTTAAGTTAGTACAGTAGAGTTATCACACTTGTACCGTGAAACATAATCAAAGAAGTAGTAACTATTAGTTTTTATTTACTGACTCATAAACAATTCTTAAAAACAAAAGAAACTTGGAAGCTAAACAACGTTATTTAAAGTGCACCTTCACGATTTTTTTTTTAATCTTTAAAATGAAAATTGAGGTCAATAAAAACATATCTGTGAAAAGAATTTTTCATTTTTATAAAAAAGCGAATTTTTGGTGAGCTTACAAACATAGGAAAATGTCCGCTTTGAGCTCTTTTTTTGGTCTCAATACCGGGAAAGACTGGGACTGACTCTGACGTCATCCCAGGACAAAATATTTGTTGTTATCGAAGCTTGACAGTGAATTTTATCGATATTTTTAACATCGATTTTTATGCTCTTCGCGAATGAAATGCCCATCAAGCGCGTTTTTGGTGGCTGTAGTAACAGGYCAGATATTTTGAGGGGAATCGACCTTCAAGTTATCAAGTTATACCTTTTCGACGACCCGAAGCAAGAAAGAGACGGAAGAAATGGCTCGACTTTGTCAAAATCATGCACTAAGACAGAAAAATGCACTAAGACAGAATAAACCATACCGATATAGTTTATTGAGAAATGTCAAGCGCCTGCCGTGAACTCAGTTTACTAGTAATAGGGCTGGAATTTCAGCAAATTCTTTTGATCTCGGCACAAAATACGCAAAACAGCCATTAGTCATTTGAGGCAAAGTTCTCTATGCTCGTAAGTCTAAACTTCTCGTAGTCGAGAAAATGAAATAAACAAGTACGATAAGGCAAACACATGACTGAAAATATCCTTCTTAAGCGCTTTTCTAATTCCATGAGATGAAACGACTACGAATCCAGAAATGAACACTCTTTCGTTCTTGAAACAATTATTAAGCGCTTCCCAAGCGATCCAGAAGCAAAGCGTAGAGTGTTGTTTTCAGTTTAAAATTAGGAGTGCCGGGAATCGTATTTTCCCGATTTTGAAACCGCCGATCAAGGTCAGCGCTTGACATTTCTCTGCAAAGGAAGAATATTTTCATGTCTGTTCGTGGTTGTTTTATATTTCATTTTCTCGGGAAATTTAGACTGCCGTGCACATAGTCTTTCGCGAGGTAAAAATTTCGAAGTGCCTCAAATGACTATTTCGTATTCTGTGCCGAGGACAAGGAATTTGCTGAAATTCAAATCTACTGAGCTCACGGCAAGCGCTTGACAATTCTCAGTGAATATAAAGCGGTTTGATACATTCAATATTAGCGGTTTTATTGATTTTTGTGGGAAAGATAGACTTTTATAAGGCATTTAGTCTTTTGCGACCGAACTTATGGCCTGGGTTGACGTCACAAGAGTCTCGCCAGTCCCGACACGGACAAAATAATTTGGAACACTTAATTTTGGTCTTATTTTTTCGATTCCGTCCCAACCGTTTACAAGATAATCACCAAACCAACACAGAAATTATTTTAAGGTTCGTAAGAATTGTTTTAAAGATTAAAACAAAAATCGTGAAGGTGCACTTTAAAAGCTACCTAATGAAGAAGGAGGAATTTGTTA